AGAAGAAAAATTGATTGATTTACTAATGATTTCCTATTCTAATATACTTTCAGTTCCTTCCACCATTGATGGGCATCATCATCTAGTCTTAATCCCTTTTGGCAGGTGCAAAGAAAAAAAAAAGGGTTCTGCCATTTCAAAAGCTTAGCAATATAAATATTGTATAGAGAGGATAGGAAACTATATATAGGGGATAACATTAACATTTTCCAATGCTATTGTCACATAAGCAGGTCTAAGGTCTTCTAGGTATGTTAATTAATATCATCTTTCCCAGTCAAAATTGGTCTGGGACTAGCAGACATGGTTTCTCATTATTCCAACTCAATTCTCAAGAGAATTTGATGATACATTAAACAGTTTGCTTTAACAGAATCCAATCCCAACAAATGGCCTCCTTTTGGAAAATATTTAATTCATCTTGCACATAATTAAATCTTCAAATCTTCCAAACGAGAAGCACAATCCCCATCTAGCTTTAAAATAACCCATAATTAAAGAGACACAATTATGCATAGACAAATTCCAAAAAAACAAATGAAGTGGTACTCCACCTTTTGTTGTGGAAAGATTTCATCATTCAATTCTTCACCATCCAACTTGCAAAGTACTACTAATTTATTTCCATGAAAAAGAACTTTCCTTGCACCAAGGAAAAAGCATGAGGACAATATTAAAACTAATTAACTGAATTAACATGAGCATATGCTTGATAGAGTTTGGTATAATACCACAGAAAAAGAAAATTATATTAGATGTCAAAAGCAGTGCTAGCTATCTCTATTCCACTGAAGATGGTCGGTGTTGCCATTTTGCCACTCACTACTCATGCAGGTTGCTTACATGTGGGATGCAATAGCAGTTAAATTTTTTGTGATTTTTTCATGGTGTAACTAGGCAGTAATGATCTTGACATTCACATTAGTCAACACACAGTGAAAGATAAAACAAAAAGAAAAAAAATGTTATGATGGACAACAGCTGTTAGCATGTCCCAAAGGTTGACCTGTTGACACTGAACAACCATTACATTGATTTTTGGAGTAGTCTTGGACTTTAGCAGGACCACTATGGTGGACAATGACTGAACCAAAGCTCCCTCCTCTCATTATATAGTGCTGTTGTCACACAGGCATGGAGTGCAGCATAACAAGAGTACATGGGTTTAGGACCACACGGCATGAGCCATGAGGTGTTAATGAATTGTACCTGCCTTCATGTGATTTACAGTAGATTGCTTTGCTTCGCATGTATTTATATACATCAACCATCCACAACTTCAACTCCTAAGACATTCTATCTCTCTTCCTGGCTCCCTCCCTCCCTTTTTGCTATTTGCTTTTTGGTCTTTGGTTGAGTGAGTTTGTCTAAGTCAAGCTGAGGCGATGAATAAGAGAGTTTATCCTACTGTTCTTCTTCTCTTCCTTGTTTTCCTTATTTCCTCCTCCCATTTATCCGCTCGGTTCATAGCAACTAAACAAGGTAAAGGTCTTCTACTTCCTACTCCTTTTGGTTTTACACTGTGTTAGGAACTAAACCTGGGAAATCTTTTTCAGAACAAGAGGAGGTAGAGCTAAATCAAATCACTAAAAGATCAGAGGAGATTGAACCCGTGACTGTATGCTTCCACTACCTTTCTTCTTCGTCTCTGCTCTCTCTCTATATATTACCTAAAGTATCTTATGATTTTTCTGGTTTTGGGGATCATTTTAGCAGCTAATGAACATGGAAGCCTGTGATACTGGAGATGAAGAATGTTTGAAGAGAAGAACAATATTAGAGGCTCACTTGGACTACGTTTACACACAGCACCACAAGCCTTGAGACTCGTAGATCAAGAATTTTAAGTTCATGTATCTTCTTCTATATTTTCAACCCAAGAATGATCAATTCCCTATGAAACCACTAGAATGGTATGGTTTCTGTATGTATTGTACTCCATAATTAGTAAATGAAACACCTAAATGCATCTATGACCACTTTTATGTGTATCTCAGCATCTCTTCCCTTCACATATATCATGTATTTAATTTACCAGCGAAGGAGGAATAAACATAAATCGCAGCAAAAGTAGTTCCAAGTTGATAAGAAGAGGGTCGGGCTGGGGGTAGGTAATTTAATAGACGGTTGGGAGACTATGGTCATGAGAGAATTTAGGGACATACATTTCAATCACATTCACTTTCAACCGTTGCATAGTTCCCAGGACAATGACCACAAACTGCACACTCTTGGATATAATATATAACCAATTCTCTCAAACTTCAACAAAAATTGCCTGTTTTTCAGGTTTTTTGAGGCCATATGCCTTCTTAAATTAGTAATGAGTGGACAAGTTGTAGTGTTCATGTTTCAGCTAAGAAACAATGAATAATTGCCTTACTTTCCTATATCTAAGCAATTTGCCTCAAAATCACAGGAAACATGTGAGTTGATTCCTTAATGTTGTCTGTCAATTTTTGTGAGAATTATTGCTAGCAGCCAAAAGCGCACTGATGACTTTCTTTACTTTGCTTCAGCGAAAGAGGACAAATGTTGCTACGACTAGATGAGGAGTCTGTTTCCTTCTTTTTAACAAAGGTAGTACTATTCCTCCTAGTGATTGATTGATAGGAGTTTTGATTTATAAGCCTTCTGCATATTTTAAAGCCTATCCCCAACCAAAAAGAGAAAAAAGCCATGGACGAAAGCATAACTAATTTAGCTATGAATCTTTTTATCGATGGCATACCAATGGCCTTCTATCTTCTTTCAAAGAAACCTTAATCTTGTAAGTTGAAAATTTAAAGTTTGAAGCCTATTCTCATCATATCCCTCCAGCGTGACTTTACAGTCACATGAATTAGCTATTCAGCGGTGACATTCAACAAAGAATTGGATGTGCCAAATATCAACAGAAACACAGCAACTAGAATGACCCAGTTTTGAGGAGGTCGGTAACATTCAACAAAGAATTGGATGTGCCAAATATCAACAGAAACACACCAGCTAGAATGACCCAGTTTTGAGGAGGTCGGTAACATTCAACAAAGAATTGGATGTGCCAAATGTCATCAGAAAACATCAGCTAGAATGACCAAGTTTTCAAAAAAGGCTTGGAGCTCGGAGAGGAACTAATTAAATTATTAGTATAAAGGTACTTGGTCAAGGTTAAAACCCTTATTTCTCTCTATAACTTTCTCTCTATAAGAATTTTAAGTTTTAAAAAAACTTGTAAAGTAACTAATTAAATTATTGATATAAAAGTGTTTCTTTATCTATATGATCAAGGTTTAAACCTTTATTTTCCTTCCTCATCCTTTTCTTTATGAAAATTTCAAGTTTTTAGAAAATTAAAAAGATTTGTAAAGTAATTGATTAAATTATTGATATAAAAATGCTTATATATCAATATGGAGGTTGGTGTTTGTCAGCCTGACCTCCCAAAAATTAGGAGGAAAAAGGACAAATATCACCTTAATGCATGCTTTAAAAATAAGGTAGTTTAGTCTTTTTCAATAAAAGTTTATTGAAACGACGTAGTTTTAGGATGATTTTCCTCCTAATTTTTGGGAGGTCAGGCTGACAAACACTTTTCCCTATCAATATGATCAAGGTTTAAACCCTTGTTCTCCCTCCCTGCCCTGCTCTCTATGAGGATTTTAATTAGTTAATTTGTCTTATATAAGAAGTGGAAAAAGCCAAATCTTTTTTTATTAGTATTTATTATTTATTATTTTTTATGGGTTAGAATAATAGTTAGGGGTTTAGTTCTTGAACAGATTGTAGGCCAGGCCCAGACCAACTTATTATGCTCCTTCCTGCCACGAACATTGAACAGTACTCGTACCCAAAGCCTGCATTGCATTAGGCCCAGCCCAAATACAATTACCTCTTAACCTCCCAGATACAATTTCGAAATTTCCTCCCAAGTCTTAAACCTTACATTTTACACCGTTTCTCAACTTCATTTTCCACGTTCATTTCTTTCTTTCCATTGTTTCACAGCTAATGAATAATTAAAGCTAATACAACATCAGATAGCTTCCTTTTTTTTCAGACATCTCCTTTTTTCGATGAGGTAAAAAAAAAAAAACCCCTCTCAAACATGCTAGGTGCAAGTATGTAGTGCTTCATTAGTTTAATAGGAAAATAAAAATTAAGATGTTTTGGTATTAAAAATATTAAAATATTTAATTTTAATTATATATTAAATAAAATTTAAGTAAATTTTACATTATATTATATTTATTTTATGATTGTTATTAAACCATTTGATATTTTAAGATCAAAATATCATATTTTTCTACAACATGTTAGTTTAAAATCAAAATTTTCATCATTAATGTGGAGATTTTTTTTTCTTTTTTTATCTTGGTTGTACAATGAAAAGTAACTATCTTTTATCTCCTATCTCTTATTTCATTTTACTATATATATCATGTGATTTGAATTTAAAATCTTTTACTTTTAATGAAAAAAAATGATTACTAAATTATTTAAGTCGTTGACATTAATGTATAGATTTTATTTACGCTGCAAAATGCAAAGCATTAACTTTCTTTACCAGTTATTAAAAGAAAAAAAAAATTTTGACCAAGACTCGGGCCACTCTCATTGTCTTTCACCATGGACCGACCTTGTCTTCACACTCGTCGTGGACTGAAAAAACCAAGACAAAGTCCTATATCCTTTTTTTTTTTTTTTTGATCGGCAAGACAAAGTCATACCTACAATCCTTTTTCTTTCTTTTTTTTTCTTAATTTTAATTTGGTCTTCCCTATCGACAATCCACTCGGTGCTTATTCATATACTTTTTGACCGTTTAACTTTGGATTAGGCCATGCATTTGCATCTTAAATAATTAATCAATCCACCTCAGTGGAACTTAAAGCTGTATAATTCATCAAAGCTAAGTAAGTTTGGCCATTTTCCATACTGTAAGAGATGTTTTATAATAGCAATTCACTTAAGTGCAGGTGCAATGAGTTAAAAAAAGAAAAAAAGAAAAAATAATTTAATAATAATTTTTTTTTACTATAAATTATAAAGTTTTGGGTTCAAATGTCTATAATGTGTAAATAGGTAGGTAAATTATACAAACCCAAATTTTAAAAAGAGAGGGAGAGAGAACTATCTAATAACATTTTAAACTTGTCTATATATAATCTCAACAAAAATATGTTATGCAATGTGACATTTCTTTTTTTCTTTTTTTTTGGGGGGGGGGGGGGGGAAGCTCCCTAAATTTTGTATCCACAAAATATTGTTTAACGTTTTTTTCTAAAACCGGAGCATTTTAAGAAGCCTGTAAACATTTATATTATATATATAATTTTTTTTTTGAATTGTATAATAATATGAGATAAGTCATGTTATTAAATAAATTGATATATTTTTTATTTTAAAATAATTATCTTTTTTAATTTTTTTTTCAAATTTAGAATTTAAAATAATTCATATATTTATCAATATTATCGTTTAAAAAAACTAAAAGATAAAGACATTGTTTGTAATAGGATAATATTTAAAATAGTACATAATGATAAAATTAAATAAAATATATTTATCTATTTAAAAGTATGACAAAATAACAATTAACTTTAAATTAATTTAAAATTAAACAATGATAATTATTTTAAAATAAAAAATATATGATATTATAAATTTTAATAAAACTAAAAAAATTAATTATTAAACATTATAAAATTTATTTTTTAATATTTTAAATGATATTATAATTTATACAATACCATTAATTTTAATATTTTTATCTCGTTTGTTATTATATGCATTTTCCTGTGACAACTGAAAAGGATGAGGACCCACCAACTTACTATAAAAAAATAAAAAAAGAATTATTACCCAAAAAATTAAAATAAAACAAAAACAAAAACACTAAAATAAAGAAGGTTAAATGTCAAATTTGGTCCCTAAACTATTATATGGACCCTCATTTGGTCCCTAAACTAAAAACATCCCTAATTTGATCCCTAAACTATTGTACAGATCCCCGATTTGATCCTTACTATTTACTAATTTGCCCAAAGTTAATCCTTCTATACAAAAATAATTGACGTGTCTCGTTATTAACGTGACACGTAATTGTTAAGTTATTAATTTTTGTCGTTAAGTTATTATTTTTTGTTGTTAAATATTAGATACATTAGTTTTTTTTTGTACAGAATGACTAATTTGGGACAAATTGGTAAACAGTAAGGATCAAATTGGGGTTTGTACAATAGTTTAAGGACCAAATCAGTAATTTTTTTAGTTTAGAGACCAAATCAGGACCTGTATAATAGTTTAGAGACCAAATTGAGGACTTATATAATAGTTCAGGGACCAAATTAAGGATTTAACCAATAAAGAAGGATGATTTCTAAGAAATTAGAAGGAAAAACAAATGAGAAGACAGAAGCAGCCCCCAAGAAAATGACACCCGAATCTGTCCGCACAACAGAAACTCCCAATTGCCCAAAGGCCAAAGCCCAACTGCGTGAACCGGGTGACAAGTTTTCCTCCACTCGGTTACTTTATGTATACCATCCATCTTCCAATAGCGCTTCACCACGTATTCACTGACCTGGCACCGCTGCTCCCACGTCACTAATTATATCCTTAAAATACCAATTTAATCCCTTAACTTTCACATTTCTGCCAAAATTATCTCTCAACTTAAAAAAATACTAAAATTATCCATAAATTTTAATTTTTAATTCAAAAAAAATCCTTCTGTTAACATAAACGTCACATAAGTCATTATTTTAACACAAAATTAGTTTTAAAATATTAATGATGTGTAAAATGAAATAGTTATATTTTGCCTCCCCTCTATAATATGTTTCTATTTATATATCAAATAGATATATAATTGAAATTAAAAAACCAAACTAGTATCTATAATTAAAGTTCAAAGATTAAGTAGATATTTGTCTTCAAAGTTTAAAAACTAAATTAGTGTTATCTTTAAAGTTTGAGGACTATTTTGGTGTCAAAAATTAAAATTTAGGGATAATTTTGATATTTTATGAAGTTGAGGGATAATTTTATATAAATTTAAAAGTTAAGAGACCAGATTGGTATTTTAACCCATACTACTAGTAATAATAAAAAATAAAAGTAAAAACCCCCCCAATAAATATTAAAAATCCCAAAACGCAAAAGCTCATCGAGGGCTTCCTCTCCCATTTTTATCGTTCCATTTTTCCTCGAATTCTCTGCCAATTTTGCAATCCCTTTGTTGCAGAGATTAGACAAAGAAACGAAGAAGAAGAAGAAGCGATGCGAAAGTGAAGGACTTTTGTTACGAACCCAAGAATCAATGGCTTCCTTTTTTTACAATCAGGTACGCGATTCTTATTCTTGTTCTGGTAATAAACTCCGTGGATGCTCCAAGGCTCAGGCTTGTCTAAATAAGATTATTCACATAATCTTATCTGTTCCGCCATGTGAAATCCCAAATTCCTTGCTTCGTGATAAAAGAGGGTTGGATATTGACTTGAACTTGAGGTTGGGTTCTTCTCTTGAGAGTGAGAAATCTGAGTCTTTGGCGGAGAATAGCTTCGTGGGCAAAGAGAAAGAAACCGAGAGCAATTCTTCTGTTGGGGTTGAAGAAGTGAGTCGAGATGGAGAAGAGGCGGAGGCAATTGCAGAGAAAACGACACCGGAGGCCTCTTCCGACATCACGGATTTGCAGAAAGTGGAAATGCGAGTCGAGAAGGGCGTGGAAAGGGGTGACGGTAACGGTGGCGACGTCACCACCAACGCACCGTTTCCGAAGAAACGGCGCAGATGTGACGATTCGTTGGCTCTGCTTATCGAGGCGGCGGAGATGATCTCTGATGATCAGGTGGGTTCACCAGAACAGGACCAAAAAGTTGCCCAGAGTGAAGCGGTCAAAAGTGGGTCAAACTCAAAGAAAAACAGTTCGACCGACGGCGACGAGTGTGGAAACGGTGACTTCGAGGATATTTCGCCGGTGGTGAGATCGCGAAGGGGAAGGAGTCAAGTGTTACCGTACAGATACAGAGACTCTGTTCTGGAGCCGTTAAGGCGACCACAGAGATCAGCCATGGTTCCAAAGGAAAAACGTAGGTCGTCCAAGTAAAAAAACAGTTATGTATTCGAAGATTTTTATGAATTACTGCATAAGTGGCAGATGAAAACCAGAGCCCTGTGGTAATGTTTTGTCTCTTGTTGTTGTTGTTTTTTTTTTGTTTTGTTTTATAAGGGTAATGGCCAATAGTTAAGTTAGAAAAAATTAGTAATTAAGGATTTCATCCTCATAACAGATGATCTTTCATCTTTAGTTGAAGTGCGTTACCCATTAGACCGCACGATGAAGTTTCGTTTCTTGTTTATTTTCCTTTTGTGTGTATTTTTTTTATCCAGAGACAAGAGCTGTTGAATTTGAGAATGAGTAAGAGAAAATGAATAATATATTGTTGCTTATGTCCATTCATTCCTTGATAAGAGAAAAGAAGAAAAAAAAAAAAA